CCTGGCTTGACAAAGCTCTGGCTGGGATGATGTAGTTGGGGTTGGCCCTGCTTTGAGCAGGGAGTTGCCTTAGATGGCCTCCTGTGGTCTCTTCTAACCCTAATCTTCAATGATTCTATTAATTGTTCTCCATGTCCACTGCAGGTAGGACAAGAAGTGATGGGCTTAATCTGAAGCAAGGGGAATTTAAGTCAGACAGTAGGAAAGCCTTTTTAACTATAAGGTTAGTTAAGCTCTGGAACAGGGAGGTGCTAGGGAGGTTGTGGAATCCCTGTCACTAGAGATTTTTAAGAACAGTCTAGACTAACACCTGTCGGGGTAGTCTAAGTTGACTTGGTCCTTGCTCAGAGTGAAGGGATAGACTAGATGACCTCACAAGGTCCCTTCCAGTCCTAGTCTGCAAGTCAATGATTTCTGATGTTCTTCCTCCCTCGCTCTCCTCCTCTACTCAAGAGCTGAAAAAAGTCAACAAAAATTCGCAAGCATGGTGGAGTGCTGTTCTTAGGTTCTGTCATGGGGAGATCGGCCAGTGGCTGAACAGAGTGTGGACAAGGGGAAACCTCAGGCTTCATTCTGACTGCTGTGGGGTCTTACTGGTTATGTGAGAACTTGAAGTCCAAATTCCACATCAGCATGTCCCCACAGCCTGTCCTGAACCACTCCTTGGGGGCTACTGCAGGGGACACCAAGGCACTACTGCACAGCATCTCTGTGTACGGGCTGCTCTTCCACCTTGCAGAACTGTCTCTGGGCAGCATTTTATGGGCCTGCATCTGCACTAACACTGGCGTATAACAATCATAGCTCCAGTGATGTCAAACAGAGTTACTCTGGTGTAAAATGAGAGGTGAAATCAGCCCCCTGAACTCTTAAATCTTAAAGAGCCACTTCTGTGCTGGGAGTTAAGTTGGCAGCGATCCATCTGCAGTGAAAATTTGAGCCGGACTAATTAGAAAGCTCTGAAAATTGAGTTGGTGAATGTAGAGAATGACACGGCTCTTTCCTGCAGAGCAGTGCTGCTCGTAAAGGTGCTTAAACATGATAGAGAGGGGAAGGCTGGCTGCTCCTAGAAGAGCTCATGTTTGAAAAGGAAAAGAGATAAAATATTTATTAGTGAAGCAAGTCGGGCAACTGAAACCTACATGCTCGTTAGTGTGAGGCAGGATTACACTGAGCAGAAGTTTGGGCAGGAGACAGAAACTTTGTTCCCCTTGCTAAATGTTATAATTAGATGAACAGATAAAGGAAACGGGCAGAAATGGAGGACCCTCCCACCTCCCAAACAACAGCCTGATGAATTACACAGATAGAACTCCAGTTCCTTAGCAGGGAGGTGGGGATGGGGGGGATGTGTCTAGTGACTTGCTGAACCACAGGAGCAAAGTCTGAATGGATGGTGAAAAATCATCTTTTCTATGGAGCTTTTCCTCTGTCAGTCTCAAAGCACTGCACATGCCTTAATGCATTTGTCCTCACAATAGCTAGAACCCTGAAAATTTGCAGATAGCTGCTTTATAGCCACACTTTTGTGGCTACAGATGTAGAACTTGTATCTTCACAGGACTCTAACAGTAGTCCTGTTAAGGAGACCACACTGAGCCAACAGGCAGAACTGAACCAGGGACTGCTAGAACTCAGTGCATGAGCTTCTTCAGCTGGCTCTCAGCGAAGGCCGTAGAGCAAACTCGTTCTCCCACCGTAAGTGGACTCAGTGCCACTCCATGGGACAGTGCACCGAAGCCAAGTGATCTCAGAGGAAGCCAGGAATTGCACTGGGGTCTCCAAAATCTGAGGCTGAGACTTTTGTGGAATCCCCCAATGGAAATGTAGATTCATAATTCAAGCTGCAGAGGATCCCGGTGAGATTACACTGGCAGGTGATGATGGCTGCCCGCCCTGGGATCCAAAGATCATCACAGAGGTAAGCGGGCAGGCACTCTCTCTCGGGTCCATGGAATGACAGTTGAGCCCTGTAGTAAAACCAGCTGGGGCCTGAGCAGTTAGCCCCTGGTATAAGGCTGCATGGGAGGGTCACAGCTAAACCACATGGGCTGAGGGGTTTCCTGGTTGCAGGCCCGGGGGCTCGGGGCAATTCCAGGCTGTGTATTGTGCAGGCCGAAAGACGGGAGGAGTTGTGTGCATGACCCACAGAGGAAGCAGAGGGACAGGCCTTCTTGGGCACAGAGCTTGCTGGAGTGTCAGACCTGGGTGTTTCTGAGCAAGGAGACTGCCGGCTGCTGTTTGCTTCTACTGGGTTCAGGGACACAGGACCTCGCGTGCACTCTTTGCAAACAAACAAGATCGCATCAAAAACATCCCTGATGCATATCATTAATGTATTATTCTAATGGAGCCAGGCTCTGAAATGTGGTGATTTCCTTGAGCCAAAGGGGGAACAATCACTTAAAATGAAAGGGGCAAAATCTTTGTCTATATTTGCCTTGGAAAGTTCCTTGGCGTTTCCCTCTGGCTGCTATCAAAGAGCTGTAGTCACAAGAAAGGCCTCATAACTTAGAAATGTGACTGTTGGGGCTGAGGAAGAGGGGGGAATAGAAGGTCTGGATTTTGCCCTGAGGAAGAAATTCTCATTGTTTGTGGTTTTGCCCTCTCTCCCATGAGCTTCCAGAGCTGACTTTACTCCCAAGTGAGGTGGATTGTCAGAGCCTTTCACACCGCTATCCGAGTGTCATAGTTGTATCCACATCTATATCAGCACGTGCCTCCCACTGTAGTGCCTCAGTGCAGGTCCTGGGCTGGCCCTCATGTGGGTGGCAGGATGGTTGAAGGACTGGCGAGATGCCACCACGTCACCATGCTGCATTGTAATGGGATGACGACCTTGTCATGGCATGCACTGCCACCCAACCCTATTCAGGAAGGGGCATTGAGGCAAGGGGGCTTATGTCAAAGCACTGTTTCATCTTGAGGGCTGTGTAAACCCTTTCAAACATGTGCTCTCTTTCCCCTTTCTCCTTGAGATAAGATAAAGGCTTCCGGAAATAGGCATTTCTTGTAGTATTCTCTCTCTTGTGTAAATACTTGGAGGAATGCTGCTATTTGGATTAGTTTCAGCTGGAAAGCAAATGGGCTGGATCCACCCACTAAGTTGGAAACATGCTCGTCAGATCAAGAGAATCCTTCTGGCTGCTAATTACAGTGGTTCCCAAAGAAGCATGCATGAGTCCTCATAGCAATCAACGCACCGGTTTGCACTGACATTCCCACTGCTAGGAATACTGTGCTCTTCTGCAGAGAAATCCCACAGTAGAGCCAAGTCCCACTTAAGGGATTACAGTGCCTGAAGTCTGGCTCTGCAGACTGTAAATTCAAGTGCTGCTGTTCTTCAGCTCCAGGAGCAATGAGATGGTGTGATAACTGGTCCAATGTCCTTCCACCAGACTTTTAGCAGTCTGTTGCTCTGAGCCCCACCAAAGGCAGATTTCATTGCAGGAGGAACTGGCCGTAGCTATGCCGGGCTCTGTTGTTCATTGCTGTTAGTGTGTGTGCTGTCTTACCAGAGTGACTCTTTAAACTGAACTCAGGGAGGAAAATCGCAAATATTGCACGGCTGCAATGACCATGAACATATTTGGATAGGCTCAGCTGTACTTTGCTGATTTGAATCATAGTGGGAGAGAAATTCCATGCTGTTTGGCATGAGAGGGCATTTGCACTCTGCAGAAGGAAAATCCTTCCTTTTTCCCACCCTTTGCCCACCGCATCTATTTAGATTGTAAGCTCTTTCATAGAATCATAGAATACTAGGACTGTAAGGGACCTCGAGAGTTATCGAGTCCAGTCCCCTGCCCCCATGGCAGGACCAAATACTGTCTAGACCATCCCTGATAGACATTTATCTAACCTACTCTTAAATATCTCCAGAGATGGGGATTCCACAACCTCCCTGGGCAATTTATTCCAGTGTTTGACCACCCTGACAGTTAGGAACTTTTTCCCAATGTCCAACCTAAACCTCCCTTGCTGCAGTTTAAGCCCATTGCTTCTAGTTCTATCCTCAGAGGCCAAGATGAACACGTTTTCTCCTTCCTCCTTATGACACCCTTTTAGATACCTGAAAACGGCTCTCATGTCCCCCTTCAGTCTTCTCTTTTCTAAACTAAAGCAGGGATTAGGTGTATGTACAGTCCCTAGCCCATTGGGGCCTAGATTTCAGTTGGGGTCTCTAGGCAATATCATGATACTACTAATAATAAGAGCTATGTCATCAGCAAATGAGAATTAACCGCCCTTCCTAAATATGAGTTAAATATGAGATAGTGGGATACTGTTGCAAAAACAGCAAACATGATTCTAGACTGCATTAAGAGGAGTGTTGTGAGCAAGACACAAGAAGTCATTCTTCCGCTCTACTCTGCACTGATTAGTTGGAGTATTGTGTCCAGTTCAGGAAAGATGTGGAGAAATTGGAGAAGGTCCAGAGAAGAGCAACAAAAATGCTTAAAGGTCTAGAAAGCATGAGCTATGAGGGAAGACTGAAAGAACTGGGTTAGTTTGGAAAAGAGAAGGCTGAGAAGGGACATGATAGCAGCTTTCAAGTACCTAAAAGAATGTTACAGGGAGGAGGGAGAAAAATCATTGTCCTTGGCCTCTGAGGACAGGACAGGAAGCAATGGGCTTAAATTGCAGCAAGGGAGGCTTAGGTTGGACATTAGGAAAAACTTCCTACCTGTCAGGGTGGTTAAACACTGGAATAAATTGCCTAGGGGGGCTGTGGAATCCCCATCCCTGGAGATATTTAAGAGCAGGTTGGACAGACGCCTGTCAGGGATGATCTAGACGGTGCTTGGTCCTGCCATGAGGGCAGGGGACTGGGCTTGATGACCACTCGAGGTCCCTTCCAGTTCTGGTGTTCTGTGCCTCCTAGCTGCTGCTGGAATTTTTTTAAAGTTTATATTTGTAAAGAGCTTTGCTGTATGTCAGTCTGCCCCACCCAGCTCTTTGCACCCGTCACATGGCAAAATAAAATTACAGCCACGTACCTGGATCCAGACAGGCTCCGCAGTGGGCCCAGGGGACGTGAGGTTCTCCCAGTTCCCAGTCCTCTCATAGGTGAAGGTGGTCCCCGCCACTTTGTAATCTCCATTCCACTGGATGGTCCACCCGCCATTCAGAAAGTATTTCTCTGGATCTTCGCTCCTCAAGGCCAGGAAATTTCCTGCTTCTGCCACTTCCTCAATTCTAATCTCCCGGGCTCCAGCAGGGATCATCCCAATGTCAACATAACCTGGGAATTTCATGGACTGTCAATCTCAGGCAGCCGAACAAACAAAAGTCGCCCACATGCCAGATAAATCAATCACTTGGGGTACTGAGAGCTGCCCAGCTGATCAAACAACATTTTGTCTTTTAGCTGCTGGTATCTGGAGGCTCAGATAAAATAGTTCTTTCTTTCCCCTGCCTTCTTTCCCCTGCCTCCTTTCCTACATGGTTAAAAGTCTCAAGAGAGGGAGCTGTGTTAGTCTGTAACTGAAAAAACTTAAAAAACAGCAGATAGTTCTGCAGCGCCTTAGAAACTAACAAACAAATGTAGATGGTTTCATGAGCTTTTGTGGCCACTTGTGAAGAAGTGGGTTGTGCCCAGGAAAGCTCATGATACCATCTACATTTGTTTGTTAGGTGCTGCAGAACTATTCGCTGTTTTTTCAGTTTCTCCTACATGGATCCTGTCTGTGTTCTCTGCCGGTAAATGCCACTGCAGAACTAAAAGTGCCCCCACTGAGCCTTGACAAATGCGTGTATGTACTTTACCTTGTCCACATCACACTGAATGGGCTTTTAAAGCATTTAAAGTGTTTTTGCCTTGTCCATGTTGACCATCCAACCCCCCTTGCATCTTCTGTTCAGCTGAGCCCGTAGGTCCAGCTAACTCAGAGGGCAGACAAGGTCTTAGCAGCAAGGGACTGTAAATGGGTAGTTTCCCTCTGAGCAATAAACACTGGAGCTGTGTCTAGACTACATCCTTTTTCTTGAAAAACAGATATAAATTAGACACTCTGAAATTGCAAATGAAGAAGGGATTTAAATTTCCCGTGCTTCATTTGCATAATGGCGGCCGCAGGGTTTTTTCGAAAAGGGGCTTTTCAAAAGAAAAACAGCTGTTTAGATGGGGATCTTTCGAAAATAAAACCCTTTTTCGAAAGATCCTGTACTCCTCAAAAAATGAGGTTTACAGGATCTTACGAAAAAGGGTTTTATTTTCGAGAGATCCCCACCTAAACAGTTGTTGTTCTTTCAAAAAGCCCCTTTTCAGAAAAAAAAATGCAGCCACCATTATACAAATGAAGTGCAGGAAATTTAAATCCCAGCTTCATTTGCAATTTCGAAGTGTCTAATTTACATCCCTTTTTCGAGAATCAGTTTAACGTGTCTGTGTCCCAAAGGCTAAATCTTTGTCCCACTGAAGTCAGCGGCCAAAGAGCACCATTGATCTGAAAAGGAGCCAGATTAAATAGTGATTTCAGGTGTTTGGTCTCTAACAAATAGAAATTGGAATGAAATTATATGGATGTAATCTCTCTCTCAGCTTCCTGTCATATCCAGGGCCTTTCAGAACAACTGCACTGCCAATAATTTACCTTCTCTTTATTATTGATCCCACTCTCCCCTGTGGAATTTCCTAACAATCTTGTTATTGAAGGGTTCCTGTTGGCAAACCAACCCCATGCCTCCCCTCCCCCCACTGCTGATAAAGGGAAAAACTTAGATCTGCAGGATCAAGGATGTTTGTTTTAAGAAAATCATTTAAAACAACAATCTCCACTCCCCAACCCCTTTCTTATTCAAATAGGTGAGACCTTTGACCTACCCTTGCTCTGTCCACTTGTTCAGTTTTCAGGAGAATGTTGAGTTTGTAGGCGAGCTTAGTTATGCTTTACTAAGTGACAGCCATGTTTATTTTATTAAAAGAGGTGCTCTCACTCTCTATCAAAGTATACAAACCATCTTGGCACTTTAACATGTGAAGCATGGAACGGAAACAACTCTCCTATTGAAGAAAAGTTGTGAGGGAATTTGGTACTCAAAGACATTATGATAAAGAATAATATCGCTGCATTGCCCTTTTACTGCATCTTCTGAGAAAGGGTCTCAAAGCCCTTTATAAACTCTAGAGTGTCCTTGTGAGGCTGGAGTTTTCTCTGTTTAATAGACAAGGAAAACTAGCAAAAAGATGTTGAGTGACTCACTCTAAGTAACCATGTTGTCCTGAGTCCAGCAGAATCCCTCTGAACCCTGAAAGACCAGGACCATCCACTGTGTTCCCCAAGGTGCATAATGATCTGCTAAGCAGAAACTTCTCTAAGCCCCAGAAAGTTACTACAAATGCTGTCCCAACTACCAGCATGAACTGTTTGTAGGAGCTTCAAAGAGGTAGCTGAATTAGTCTGTAACTGGAAAAACTTAAAAACAACGAATAGTCTAGTAGCACCTTAAAGACTAACAAAACATGCAGATGGTATCATGAGCTTTCGTGGGTAAAGCCCCATTTCTTCAGATGTGGGTTTTGCCCCCAAAGCTCATGGTACCATCTGCATGTTTGTTAGTCTTTAAGGTGCTAATAGACTATTCATTTTGTTTGTAGGAGTACATGCGGCTCACGCCTGTTCCCGACAGACTCTGGCCTTAGGTTGCAGGGTTCCTGCAGAAGGACCTGTGTGGTAGCTCTGCCCCTTGGTGCTCTATCTTATCAGTATTTATTTAACCTTTTGAAACTCGCTTCCCTTCCTAAACAAGCCTCCTGGGGGACCATGCCTGGTGTGGTGCAGTCTCACCAACTGGTGCTGCTTACAAATGCTCCCTTTCAGAACAGGAGCCAGCCAAAGGTCAGGGCAGGCTGGGAGAGGGTTGTGTCGGACAGCCTTACCCAGCCCCTCGCTCTCCTCGAACATCTTTTTCACTGTCTGGCAGGTGGATCCATCTCCGTGGCACACCCCACACCGATCCTCCACGGCGTTGGAGTCGATTTCGTAGTCGCAGCCCACGTTCTGAAACAAAGAACTCCCGTCACTCGTGCTCAGCAGGGACAATCTCTCCACAAGTCTCGGGTTTTAAGTGGCGAGAGAAGCGCAATTTCAGTCAGTTCCTCCAACAACCTTGCATACTCCCAGAGAGGCAGAAAGGGTGTGGCAGCTTGTTTCTCCAGCACCCAGCACCCTGCTGTCTCTCTGTGCCAGCAAGCTGTGCGCGCATCATGGAGGGGCATGATGAGGTCACCAGTCCTCACAGGAAAGAATGAAAGTGACAAGCACTAGCCTCACCAAGCACTAGTGTTCCCTGTATGCTGAGTGCTTGGGCAGCCTCCCAGGAGAGATTCAAATGCCGCCCTGCTGATTAGCAGAGCACACATGCTGCCAGCTATGGGTGGCTGTGGGTTTCTATGGGTGGTGCACATCTGCACATGCCTCGGTGCACATAGCAAAATGTATTCTGCACACAGATGGAATAAAATAGAGGGAACACGGCTGAGCACCCTCCCTGGCAGAACATCGTTTGTCATTGGTAGGATGGGAAATTAGGCGACAGATACAGGGGTTCCTCAGGGAGATTAAGGGCCAAATTCTGGTCCCACTAAAATCCTGTAATGGGGAAGTCTTGGACTTATACGCAGCCAGTTTCTCCTGCTTCCCTAGTTCCCAGGGTAGGCTGGGGCTCTGGCTAGGGACAGGGAGAAGCCATGTACCCCCATGCCGAGCATCAGAGGACCCTGGTCTGTGGCTGGGATTCCTTAGACTCTGCAATAAATAATATTAAGGACAACTGCTGAGGACAACTGCTTTCATCTGGGTGTGAGACTTGATGGTCTGGAGTCCATTTCTGGCTCTGGGCTGTCCCAGGAGCATGGGGTGGGGACTACACCAGGCATGTGGGCATGTTTAGGTGACGTTCATTTGGTGATCATGACCAGACTCTTTTTCCCCGGTCACTGCTGAAGAATAGGGATTCTATTCCAGCCTCCTATTTTGGTCACATCACTACCAAAGGATGCAGATGCAGGATCCAAGTGCTTATTCTAGTTCTCTTCTCCCAGTTGCATGGTCTCAGGCCAGCTAATGGCTCTGAAGTTTGGTTCATCATAATCTTGTGACCAGGGTATAAGGAGAAACAACTCATTTAGCTGCAGTGGAATTGCACTGACATGGGGTCGAAGCCAGCCAGATACATTTTACATTTTACACTTTACATCAAGGCACCGTGTCAGATTTCTCATGATCACTTGCTCATAACCACTTTTCCTGCCACTTGGCTTGCCCAGAAGGGATGAAAGAGTCAGTTCACTGAGGAGCCACCAAAAGCCAGATTGTGCTGAGAAGTTGTTAAATTGCCACATACAGAGACATCTTTTGGAAGGTAGGCACTCAAATCCCTTGACAAGTATGTAGCCCATATACCTGTTTCCATTTTCTCCTGGGCCTGTCTCTGCGAGCACCTACCATTTGTTTGCACCTTTCAGATTTGCACAGAGTTGGCTGCAGTATTATTTGTAAAAGCTCGGCCTTTTACCATTCCGCCCATTTCCTTCATAATCTTCTTTCACAGGAACCTAAGAGCAGGGAGTCAGCCAGGTAGGAGAAGAGAACTGCTGCATGCTGTCCTCTAGTTGGGGGAGAGCAGAAATTTCCATGCAGTGCCAGGGAGATTTGTATATTTTGCTAACACATGGGGGTCACAGTGCCCGGCGTCCTGCCTCTCAGCATCAGAAGTATCCCAGCATCAGAAGTATCCCTTTGATTTTTAGCCCTGGAGTGAATGGGTCCTTTTAATATCTGCATGTGAGTGGGGCACCAGGCCTTTGTGTCCCCGGTTGGAGACCCACTGCTCTGCTGCACCCTGTCCCAAGGACCCACAAGGCGAGAGGAGTAAAGCAGCAAAGCCACATCCACTATGCTTGTGTAGGGTGAAGCAGCCATCTTGGAAGATAGAGGCCTAGTCCTCCAATGGCTAGCGATGACCAAGCAGAGCCCAGCAGGCTCAGATAAAAGCCAGGGGCCTTCGTGGGCCAGTTCCTAGCTAGGAGCAGAGGCGAGTGCTCCTCTTTGGCCAAAGGCTGACAAATAGACACAAGATGATGAGGGGAGGGGGAGGGTCACATACCCCCCCCAATGCCATGTGGGGGAGGGAAAGGGGTTCTTCTGGCCATGCTGCCTGGGAGAGGGGATGCTACCCAGCACAGTGCAGCAAGAGAGGCACAGAGACCCCCTCCCCCTCCCAGGTGATGGGAGGGGGCAGCAGAGCAGCGCTCTGCCGAGTCCCACGCAGCCTCCAGACATGCTGCCTGGGATGCTGTTTGCTGCCTGGTGCCGTGCAGGAGGACAGACTCCCCTCACCAGGCAATGGGTGATGGGGAAGGGATGGGATGGGTGCCAGCAGGTGAGCTGCCCCATTTGGATGCCACAGTGTTCAGGAAAGCAGCTTTCTTTATGTGATGGGGTGTGTGACAGCGCGTCTGCCCCGCACTGGCCTAAGAAGGGTTAAATCCAGACCTGGGAGGGGGCTGTGACGATACAGCAGATACAGTCAATTAGGGCCCAGCCGAGTGCTGTATAAATATGGGCTCCTGGAGGGGCAGAGATTCACTCACTCTTGTTCCTGCTGTGGGGCAGGAGGGATCTGGCTGCCGGGGAAGCTGGAGGCTTCCTAAGACAGGGCAGGGCTGGGGAAAGGTGGTCAGGGCTGGGGAGCTCTGGCCTGACCCCACTCCCAGGCTGCAGGGCCTGAGGGATCCTAGGGCTGCAGGGAGGCAGCCAGGGCAGCAGAAGGCAGCAGGTCCACATCCCCTTGACAATGAGGAGTGGCCATGTCAGATGGCAGTTTGTCCCTGGATGCAGGGGCTAAATGATGACTGGCAGTGGATCACTGAGGCAAGGTGGCCACTCTAGGAGGACCCCAGAGTGTGGGGGCCCTGTGGCAGGGCAGTACCCCGAGGGAAGGGCTTCATGGACAGGGAGGGACTCGGAGAACAGGCAAACAGGTAAAGCAGGCGAGACACTGGCCAGAAGGGGGCTCTCCAGGGCTGAACGGAGCTAATTCCCCGAGTGTCCAGAAGGAGGTGGCACAGTGGTGAGTCACGTCGTGTTACGCGGGGAAAGAACAAATTCTGCCTTTTTCCTACCATCAGGCCTTGCTCTGAGCCAGGGAGTCTGTTTTAGGGTTGGTGTCGGAGACTAACACAGCGACAGCTTGTCTGGGTGCAGCAAGCTCTGACTGACTCACTTATCGTTTGCACGGGGCTGCTAAATCTCATTCGTCACTTCTATGGATGGCAACTCTGAGTGCGCAAACAGGTCCCACTCTGCAAGCCCTGCTCAGCAGCGCTGCTCCCACTGGCTCTGCTGGCAACAAAATCTGAACGCCTGTTTCTAAGGAAGAGGGAAGTTTCCCATGCGTGGTTTTGAAATAAGATACTTGCTTATTGATGATTTCCCCATCTCCTCTCTGTCCCAGATGAAGCGCGAAGGCCCAGCAGCCGACACAGATCTGGGAAAGTCTTGTAGCAGGGGCGTTCTTCCACACTCGCCTTTGTCCCACGTCCGAGAAAGGGGAACAGGCGGCACCGTGTTTCCTCTTTTGAGTCCTGCAATTTCTCTCTCCCATTGGTGGCAGGCGAGACCTTGGTATGTTCACACACATGACGCTGCTTGGCCTTTTGCTGCTTTTCTGTTCTGAGTGTGCTGGTGAGTACATAGCAACCCACGTAGTGGGACGATAAGGACTTACCTTTTCCTCCTGGTCTAGTGGCTGTGTCTTTTTCATCTGCAGGTCGAATTCATTGCTGGAACAAGTGGGCACAGGGACAGGTGGCTTCCCAGACTTTTCCCATTCGCAGTAAACACACAATGTGTAGAGCCAAAAATCACCCTCCTCCCTCAGGCTTGTCTGTATTAGCAGGCTACTGCACAATAAACACTGTCAACCGCAGCCAAAGCCATTTCCCAGGCTCCCAGGAACAGCTCCGGGCCAGAGGCAGCGTTCCCGTCTGCAGATCCACCCCCACCTCTCCGATACCCAGAGTGGAGAGAATGACCCACCTGGAACACTGACTGAGCAGGCTCAGAGTGGGCACCTAACCAAAGCGTCCTGATAGGGTAGACTCCCTCCCAGTACAAAGAAGCTGCGGGTGAATGTGGCCCGTGGCGCGCTAGCAGCCAGTTGGGTTTGTTTTCATTCGTTAGGCTGGGACTATCTGGCAGCGAAAGCCCTCGGGGAACAAGAAAGCTCTTGACAGATCACAGACGGAGCACGCTGCCGACAAGGCAGCTGGAGGCCCGCACTAGCACAGCGACTGTTGCTGTAGGCAGGCTGCTCTTCGACAACAGCTAACCCACCCCACGGAGCAAGAGAAACGGTCGTAATCCCCGCACGATCCATTGTACTTGATGGAATGGAAAGTCGGCTCCTGTGTGGTCTGCAGGCTGATGCAGCTGGCTGCGAATGAAACCATGTGCTGCGACCAGGAGAGGGGCTGGACAGCGGGGACACAAACAGCCTGTGCCCAAGCAATCAGAGTGAAACAGTGCAGGGGGTGATTTACGTGGTGGCTAGGCCTTGTGCTGGGTCTTCTGCACAGGGGGAATTCACCCTTCTGTAGCCCCTGTCTTCAGCAGCTCCAGGCAGTCCTCCAAAGCACGTTTTGACCTAAGAGCTGCTGCAGGAACCATGCCTCTGCCACTGATGGAATCTGACTGTCCCTGTATCAGCTGACCCCCATCATGTGCTGTGAGGGTCACTCTTCCTCTGCTTGCTCTGGGCAGCGTTAGCGATGGCAATCGCAGGGAGGAGGGAAATGGCTCATGCGTAATTGCCTGGGAACCATCATTATGCTTCAGAGGGGGCAGCCCTGACAGGGCAAGTCTATGGAGCTGCAGCTGGTAAAGATAGTAACGCCTTTGGTCCCTGGACTGCAAAACCAAGGTCTGATCCAATGACCACTGAAGACTTCGGGACACTCTTCATTAACTTCACTGGGCACTGGATAAAGCCCTATTTGAATAAGAGAAATAGAACTTAGCTATCAAACAGAAATAGATAGTTCTCTTGGGCTACGTCTAGACTGGCAGGATTTTCCGCAAATGCTTTTAACGGAAAAGTTTTTCTGTGAAAAGCATTTGCAGAAAAGAGCGTCTAGGTTGGCACGGACGCTTTTGCACAAAAGCACTTTTTGCGGAAAAGCGTCCGTGCCAATCTAGACACGGTTTTGCGCAAGAAAGCCCCGATCGCCATTTTATCCATCGGGGCTCTTTTGCGCAAAACAGTTCTGAGTTGTCTACACTGGCCCTCTTGCGCAAAAACATTTGCGCAAGAGGGATTTTTCCCGAATGGGAGAGTCACTGTATTTGCGCAAGAACACTGATGATCATACATTAGATCGTCAGTGTTCTTGCGCAAATTCAAGTGGTCAGTGTAGACAGTCTAGACGCAGCCTTTGTGGAAACATTTTCTGATCAAACATGAGGCCTTTTCATTGCATTCCACATCTTGGGACTACTCACCTGAGTCAAGGCTATGCGTGTGAGTAAGATTGTGCAAGATTACATCCCGCTGTCTCCTGGTGTTGGACAAGTCTTCACAGGCATGATCTGAGTGCCCTGAGTGGGCTTTGGGAGCAAGAGAGCCTGCAAAGTGTTTACCGACGGCTCTTCCTCAGCGACCCCTCGCAGATGGTATTGCTAAAGGGCGTTTCTGCCATAGGAATTGCTTCCTGGAGCTAGCTGCCATGCCTCCTTATCTGCCTCACCGTTGGCTTTGGCATCCCTTGGTTCTAGGTACTGTGAGTTTGGGGAATGTCCTCAGGTGTCAGTCAGCAGCACTTGGCCTGAAACCAGCACTCATTTTTATAGTTTCAAAGAAAGACGATAAAAATTAGAAAGTCAGAAACCCACAGGGTCTGGGTTTTTTAACAAGATAAAAACATTCTTTCAGATCTGCCCATTTTTCAGCGTCCATTCCTGAAGGCCAACTCCAACCCACAACAGGAGTCCAAAAATGGCCACGTCTTGTCTTCACTCAACACCACCCACACGAGTCAGGAAAAGACACGGTCATTCCCAGGCATGAAAACATTTGTCAATCAAATGTGTGTTCTGGTGCAAACAGTCAAAGTCCTCACACTGGTCCCTCGTGCGCACCAGCGCACACAACACAGCAATTAGTAACACCAGTCCTCTAAGACCAGTCTCTGGCTTTTCTCAGTCCCTCACTCTAAGTCTCTCCTCCTCAGAGAGCCACTTGGAATTGAAACGAAGGACGTAGCTGGCCTGGCTTCTAGGATGAGTCAGCATAATAGCTCTGCACCTCTGCCTGGTGCTCAAAGACACATTTCCCAAAGAGAGACTACCCCCAAAGCATACCTTACAGATCCCATTGATACACATATCCCGGCTTGCGTTCCCTTCATAACATGGAGTCCCATCGATGACAGCATCCCGGAGCTTTTCGGCGAAGTATTCATCCTCGGGGCGGCAGTGCAACTCACACGGATTGACTGAGGGTTCCAAACAGACTGTAAATAAACCTGCAAGGCTCAGAGCATCTGCACATGTCCCCCCCTGCTATGGTCTGGCTTCTCCTGCGAGAGCCATCCCTGCTACAGAGCCCAGATATGCACTGTCAGGACTTCCCTCTGCTCAAAAGAATCATTTTCTGACCTGTACACTAAAGCTGCAAATGCACCTCTTACCTGTTCCCTTAAAGTGCTGCTGCCATTTGAATGTCAGCTCTTTGGGGAAGAGAGAAGTTTTCTTTTGTTCTTGTTGTGTATTTGTTCCTTGTACAATGGGGCCTGACTCCTAGTCTATGACTTGGGCTTCTAGATATTCCAGTCATGCAAGGGATAAATATTAATAATATTCCTTAATCTGACAGCACTGAAAGGTAACCCGCACTGGCCTTGTGGCCAGATTCAAATAATTAACACAGATCATTCATCAAATCGATGTAAAATAATTGCCTAGCTTTGCAAACAGAGGCTCAGGAGCAGCGTTCCCCATAAGCTGGGAGCTTCTGCGGCCACTCAGGAGAGATTCAAATGCCACCCAGTAGATTAGCAGAGCACCCATAGCTGGGTTTTTGTCTCCAGGTGGTACACATTCACACATGCCTTGATGCACTTAAAATTTATTCTGCACATGAATGGAAAAAATCCACACATGGATAGAAAAGATTAGAAGGAATATTGCTTAGGAGGTTGGACTTACTGTTGTTAGGTACTGGCATCCACTTATAGAGTTTCCCTTTATATAGCATGGCATCAAACTGGCTGCACTGGATGTGACGGAAGGACGGTCTGTCTATGGGGCACGGCTTCATGTTACAAACCCGGAACCGCTTCCGTTCCCCCAGGCAGTATTTGCCGCCGTACTTTGGTCTGGTGTCGAAAGCAGGAGAACAGGGAACACAAACAGGTGCAGCACATTAGGATGCAATTCACTAAATTATCACAGCATATAAGGAGCACAGTTTTCACCATGGTCCCTGTGGGTGGCTAATCTTTTAACTGATCACACTGTACCAGATTCCCTAGTCAACCAAAACCCTGTCCCTGTCCCAAGTCAGTTGTGATTTCCTCTGTTAAAGTCCACATAATTTGGCACCCTGCAACTACATTTTTATTCATATGGAGCCAAATTCTGCTCTGATTTGCACCAATATAACTGCACTGCATTCAGGGGCATTACCCTAGCGTGGCAGAGAGCTGAAGGCAGCCACGTGGACTTTACAATCAAATGAAATGGAAGGAATTACCTGTGCCAATGAGAGATGGCGCAGAACTTCAGCACTGCATTGAAGAGCCGAACACGTCAGGGAGTGTGTGTGTGTGTGTGTACACACATGTAAGCTGGGAGTCAGATCTTTGGTTAGGACTACTCCAGAGAGAGGAGATAGATCTTGTTTTGAACTGGGAAGTTTTGTTATGTTTGGACCTGTAGTTTTGGTTCTGATCTGGTTTAATGAGTACAATTTCCCTTCCTCAGACAGCCCCACAGCTGTAACACAAATGAGGAGCTGCCATGCGAGAAAGTTACTTGTGTCACATCAGACAGCTGGCTGGTGTCTCTGTATCTGAGAATCCTGTCCCATTGTTCTTCCCCCACTTATACATTGCTAGTTATTTGAAAATGTCTTTATTCTGGAGCTGAACCTCACTGAGGTGGATGGGAACTTTGCCAGCAATTTCAGTGAGAATGTATCAGGCTCTTTGTTAGTAAATCTGTGAGAAACCACCCACGGTAAAAGCAGCAAACATTCCAGGTTAAACCCAATGCCATCATAACGCAGTGAAATAAAAAAAGCTCTGAGTCCCTGCTATACAGCTTTTTTTCCTGAATTAATAACCTTGCCGATGATGTAATTGGCAGACGTGTCTACTGGACCCATTGGGATTAGAACTTGACCTGCCAATGGTTTATTAACACAGCGGCTCAAAGATGGCTTTTAATAAGTGAACGCTGTCAAACTGAATTTCTTTGCTGAAAGACCTAACTCTCTTCTTGGCAGCTTACATCATTCCCCCCCAAAAGAGACAACATTGTTTGCCATCTCGGGGAAGGGAGCTTTGATCCCCAGGACAAAGTCCTTTGCTCATCTTTCAACAGATTCCGTTAACAAATAAACCCACAGAATTCTGGCTTCCAAACAGAAATGAGCTGAACACCAATTAAAAAATAATGAAGCTACAATTTAGTGCAGAGTTTCCGCCTTCTCTCTCCCTTCCCCCCCCTCCCCAAGACTGAAACAATAGCTGCATTTAGAAACAACCTTCCCAGAGAGCCCATCTGAACTGGCTGCGAGAAGCTCTGAAGCCCTACCAGCGTCTGTGTAACATCAAAAGGTGTGATTTGTGAGAACCACTGCTGTCCGATGGCCTTCACTTTGCCTGAACCTCTCCACTGACTCTGTGCTTTAGAAAGGAATCCCCGAGTCAGTCAGCCTGGAGCAAACAAAGCTAGGTTCCAGTGCTGTTACACATGGGTGTACAGCACAGCAGACCAGTGGGGATGGTGTCGATGGAAAATTAGAGATCCTAATTCGAACTATCTACTCCGTGCTGCATGTAGCCATGGGCGCGGAGTTCGGACTAAGGGGGATTTTAAAATGGCGGCGCCCAGGATATTTAAATCCCGGGCTTCATTTGCAACTCCAGTTGCCCTCATTTGCCTACCTAGCTCGAACTAACGAGCTAGTGTAGACATACCCCTACTGTGATATTTGCTATCAAGTGCCAGCAATGCCCCTCTGCCATGGATATTGGCCAAACCAGACAGACTCTGGGTGTGTCTAGACAGCGCTCTTCTATCAGAATAAGCTATGCAATTTGCACTATGCAAATTGCACAGTTTATTCCGAGTCTAAACTGAAAGAGCTCATTTTGAAATTTGGCGCCATCTATTAAATCCCTTAATCCTCGTGGAACATGGGTTACAGGGATGTCAGAATAGCGCACCTGCTATTTCAGGAAATAGAGGGTTTTATTTAAAGATGCAGTGTTGCTATTTTGGGATACTTCTGGTAACCCGAAAGAGCAACGCAGTCCAGACATACCCTCTGTGACAAAGGATAAATGGACACAAATCAAGCATCAGGAATGGTAACACACACATTAACCTGTAGGGGAACATTTTAACCTGCCTGGACATTCAATCATGGATTTACAAATAGCCATTCTTTACAAAGGAACGTTATCATTCAATTACAGAAAGAGATGGCTGAACTGGTTAACCCACTACAAAGGCAATTCCCCTGCCTTTGATATTCACATTCACACATCAAAAGCTATGAATGGGACACATCCAGCCTGACTCAATGAGTGTGGTTAACGTTGGTCCTACAATTGACAGGTAACTGCTTTTGCTGTTATATGTACTCTGGATTCTGTAATTTCCACTCCAACTCATTGATGAAGTAGGTTTTACCATGAAAGCACATGATATTATGTATTTTGTCAGTTTCTAAGGTGCTACAGGACTCCTCATTGTGTTTGAAGATACAGACCAACATGCTACCCGTCTAAGACTAATTCCTTTTGGTTTTGTAACTAAATTATTGTACTTTGGAGTTTTTCTCCCTTAGCAGAATGTTGCAGTATCTGGGCTATTACACTGCAGGGGAATATTTAAAGCGAATCAGGAAACCTTTTAAAATTAGAACAGAATACAATAAAGTACAAGTTAATTAATTTCTATGACTTCTTTAGAAGTTTGACTGAAAACTTTTAAAAAACAGATTTACATTTTGGAGCTACCTTGACATAGTGACTTTACTATTATAACCTTGATTTATGATGGTATAAAAATGTTTGTTAGAGTTAAGCATCAAGGGTAATGTGTAAAGTTTGAAGTCCCGTTTCCCTGCAATTGCAGTCAAGAACCATTACCTATGTAGGCATCTATCGTCTCAGCCATTTTCTCAGCCCTGTTCTTGCTCTTTGCTTTCAGTAGCTGACAAATGACTACCATTTCTCAAGATAAAACTGTCTGGTTATGTGCCACAAAAAATAAAGCCATGTGTTTTACCATCTTTGTGATTATGCCCTGATGAGATTGCTTTAGCAAACAGCATGTGCTACAGTACCCCAAATCTCCCTAAAATGGCCACATGTGGATCAGAAATGGCCCAGCTATTGGAAACATTTCAGCAGAGATTCTCGTTTGTCATTAAGTCTATTTCTGTGTTAATAAATATAAGACATGGAGTCTGTCCTTGAAATGAAGCTCTCATTGGAGCTATTCCAGGTTTACACCAGTGTAAGAGAGAGCAGAATGTGGCCCATAGAATCATAGAGTACGAGAACTGGAAGAGACCTCGAGAGGTCATTGAGTCTAGTCCCCTGCCCTCATGGCAGGACCAAGAAAATTTTGATCATCCCAGACAGGTGTCTGTCCAACCTGCTCTTAAATATCTCCAGTGGTGGAGATTCCAAAACCTCCTTAGGCAATTTATTCCACTGTTTAACCACCCTGACAGGCAGGAAGATTTTCCCTAATGTCCAACCTACCCCTCCCTTGCTACAGTTTAAGCCCATTGTTCCTTGTCCTGTCCTCAGAGGCTAAGGAGAACAATTTTTCTCCCTCCTGCTTGTAACACCATCATGGGTGTGTCTAGACTACAGGGTTTTGTCAACAAAAGTTGGCTTTTGTCGACAAAACTATACCTGCGTCTACGCTACCGCCGCGTTCTGTCGACAGTAAGTCGACAGAACACGGCAGCTTTGTCGACAGCGGTAAACCTCATTTTAAAGTACTCTTTTGAAAAAAGGCGCTATTGCATGGAAACTGCTTTTTTGAAAGAGAGCGTCTAGACTCTCTTTTGAAAAGCGACTTGCTTTTTCGACAATACTGATTGTAGTCTAGATGCTCTTTTTCAACAGAGGCTTTGTCGACAGTATCTGTAGACAAAGCCTCTGTCGAAAAAGGCGTGCAGTCTAGATGTAGCCCATGGGTCTATATTGGAAATAGCTGCTCTTGAGTTTTCTAAGGATGAGCCTCCAGTCTGGGGCCTGTTTTTTTCCAACCGGAATCAATGGCAAAACTCCCATTGTTTTCTGTGGGTGCAGGACTGAGCCCTTTCTGTTCCAAGTGCTGAGACAATAACATCCCCAGCTAAACTTCCCTGAGTCTAAAGTTTTGTGACAGGTGGCCAGAGCACATTGTACACCACGGTTATTAAATCTGTAAAGTGATGCTTCATTGCCGCAACTGTTTAGTTAACCATACTTTGATTGTTCTCCTTTGAAACATTGTTCCTCTCGTGTGTGTTTTGTAAAAGTGAAAATCTCAAATGTGCTAAACAGAAGTTTTAACCATCACTCTTAGTTTTGCATAGGAGTATTATGTGCTAATTGTTTGCACCGATATAGCCCCAGAAAAACTATTTGCCAGCTAAAAGACTATGTTGCTTTCTAATAGTCAGTTATGAGTGAATTTCCATTTGTCTCCATATTGTTCACATCACTACAGAACCCTCTGTATTGCCTATAAGCTCTACAGTTTGCCCTACGTACATTTTTACAGATGTTGGCCAGCCATTACTAGTATAACAATTGCTGCATAACCCAACTTGAATTCACATCATCTAACTGGATATGGTTCAGATCTCACTTGTTAGTTTTATACCGGTGTGCTGTTATTTGTCATTTCTGTCAGTGTAACTGATACCACTGAGGAAGTAGTCTGATGTGCAATACACTCCACCAATCCTACACAGTTTAGACATTACATCCATACACACTAGGGCCTTGTCTACACCAGCACATTTTATCACCAAAAACTTGCCTTTTGGCAACAAAACATTGAGGGCGTTTACACTGAAATGTGGCATTTTTTCGGGAAAAACACCCAGTTTTGGAAACAAAAAAACTTCCACCCTCGTGAAAGACTGTTGTCATTTCCCCTCCCTTTATGGCTGACAAAGAGCCAGTGTGGTCTCTACTGTTTGTTTTGTCAAGAGAACTGGCTTCTGCCAGTATCCCACAATGCCTGCCCTGATGGCTCTGCTCAGTGTTTTGTGATCTCTGCTGCCCGGCAGGCTGCACCCCTCCCCTTTCAAAGCTCCAGGAAGTGTCTGACAGCTGAGTGAGCAGCTCCAAACAAATCATTGTATTGCTCCTGTTCTGCCCCACTAGGAACACAGTGGCAGGCATGCTGCTACTGCCAGGGGAGGGCTGGAGAGACGGCTGTGCTACTTTGAGATTCCTCAACACGGAGAACTCACAGAGCAAGAGGGAATCCCAAGAAGCACAGGGATTAGCTCTGCCTTCCCACAACACTGCCCCGTGAGATGCTTACCCACAATGCTTTGCTCTAGCCATCGACAGGGAGCTAGCAATGTGGCCATGAAATATCGACAATGGGAGGCAGAAAAACAAGTTTGGCCGGTTTTCACTTTTGGTGAGTTTTGCATGTCGACCTCACTTTTGTCACCAAACCTTCTCAGTATAGACATAGCTTAGCTAGAACTACTTTCCAGGCCCTTGCCTTTTATAAAATACAGAAAAGAAATCTTCACCTTAACTGACTGTAAACTTTTGGGACCAGGAATTATCTTTTATTTTATGTTCAGTGTCCAGCCCAAAAAGACTACAACCCTATATGAGGTATGTTAATAGATGCTACTTTAATTAGAGATGTGTGAACATTTCCATTGGAAACCTTCTCTGGAAAAAAATGCAGATTGGAGACACCAAAAGGTTTCCCAAATTTGTGTCCATTTTGTCAAACTGCTCATTTGAAACAAAAATCTGATAAATCAAAGGAAAATAAAATTAATGTATGTTTTGTGTATGGAAACACCTAGGCTATGTCTAGACTTCCCCTTCTTGTGCAAAAAATATGCAAATGAGGTGAAGCGTGGAATATTGCCATGCCTCAACTGCATAATTAATGAGGCTGAGTTTTTGTGCAAAACCCCCTTCTTGTGCAAGAGCCGTTCTTCCTCTTTTTTCAGGAAGAATGGCTCTTGCACAAGAAGGGGCTTTTGCACAAAAGCCTCTTGTGCAAAAACGGAGCCCTGTTAATTATGCAAATGAGGCATGGCAATATTCCACACTTTGCCTCATTTGCATATTTTTTGCGCAAGGGGGGGCAGTATAGATATAGCCCTAAAGAAGAAAAACAGCCCTATTAATATTTTTGTCTACTCTACCTGAAAAGCAAGATCAGAGAGATTTACCTACAGCAGCCAAAACAAATAATTTCCTTAGGAGAGCTTTTCAGTGTTTACTCTCCTACATGCCTGTGGCTGTGTTTAAAACACTCTGTAAATGACAAATTGCTCTCCTCCAGCAAAATTCATGTCAAACATAAACTCTGCACTTGTCCTAGAAACAAGATTACATTTTTTTTTTTCAAGTTCAATAGCACATGCTAAAATAATGTACTTATAAAGAGGTTAACAAGGGAACCTAGTCTCAGCTCATCAAAGACTTTTCTTGATAGGATTCTGAAAGTCCTTAAGCCAGAAAAGGCTGAATACCACCTGAAAAACAGGTAAAGACCCCCAAATTGCTCTTATGATTGATAGAGTGCTCAAAAGACCTCAGGGTGTGCATTAAAACACTGAGTGTGGGTGTGCTGTTAATCATGCACCTGAATTGTGAGGTCAGCCGTGTTAGTTTCACAGCCTGGAATTTCATTTCAGAGCTCTTTGGGAAGGACAGACCACTGTGAAAATATTCTTCATCAAGGAGCTTGGAACAGAGTTCCCATTTTACAGATTGTCCTGCTTTATCCTCACCCTTTTCTACCCGCAACCCTGGTACTTCTTCTCGGGGGTCATTTGAGAAAATCCTTCCTATCCTTTGCTTATGTGGTGCCATTGTCTTTTAAACAGAACTCGTCATAGACTTACTGGGAAGTTCTGCTTACAAACTGATGGCACAGCATAGCCCCATATCCTTTAAACCCCCTGTGTTGCCATGGCTCCTCAGAACTCCTGCTCCTCAGCTCGGATCACAGGCTCGGACATCACCACCTTTGGGAAAGCTTTGTTTCTAATCCAGCCCAGCCGTTATTTGGCAGGGGAAGAAAGAGACATCTGGGGAGCAGCTGTGTCAGCCCAGGACTCATGGAACGGACAATGTTATACTGTCTATGATTCTGATGCTTCTGATTACCGGGCCACCTTCCTTAGAAGGTTAGGTCATATTTGGCTGCTGCCTCAGTAAAGTCTGGGAAGAAGAAACCCTCTTGTGGATCACACACCTTGATATTACCTGTATGCAAACTGTTTTGGGAACAAAGGGCAGTAAATAAGACGGGAATTTTCCCCAGTGATTCTGAATCTGCTTAAAGAAACATTTCTTCTTTTTGGCGTTAAAAAGACATTGCAGATATGTTATGGTCACACCGGCTTCATCTTTACCTTCGCTTTGAACTGGATGTCTGATGCTTTCTGCCTGAACTAATCTCGCATGGTTTGGCTGTAAAGGTGGACTAAAAAGACTCTAAACCCCAATCCACTGACCTTCCATTGCTTCCTAGCTAGCCCCATTGGTTGAATTGTCTGTGTTGTCACAAAGGGATGCTATTTCAAAAGGGATAATTAATGGCATTTGAAAGTGCCCTTTTGGAGGGTCACCTCTTTGGTGCTGTTTCACTGTGCAATTCATCACTAAGGTGGTCCATGCTTGTGGCAGGGTCCTAGCTTTCTTAGATGATGACGTGTTCAGATAAGTGCTGTGAATGAGACATTCCGAATGAAGTCACCGACTTAATGAATCTTATCCTGAGGTGAAAGTAACTTACATTTCTTACAGGTACTATCCTCTCACAACCGGGGGGGAGGGACAGTGCTCAGGGCAAAGGGTGGGCGGGTTGTGATGCGACAGCATCTGCCAGAGGTTTGGGATGTGAGGGAGTGCAGGAGTCAGAGCAGGGGAGGGGCTGTGGGAGGCATAGGGCCAGGGGCTAGGGTGGGTATAAGGTGGAGAGTGGGATGGGGGGCTTGGGGAAGTGCTCGTTGGTGACTCTGCCCTGTACTGCACCCCCAGAATTATGACCCAGAACCTGGGATCCTAGTTGCTGGCCCGGTCCCTTCCCTCGCTCAGGGTCCCTGCTGCCGGTGGCCCTGCCCATGCATGCCCGGGGCCCTCCTGGCTTCCATCCTCAACTTTAGGGGGTGGGGGTAAAGGACAGCATTAAGGGCCTTCCCCCCGTCAGCCACTTTCTTACTTTCACCTCTGATTGTACCACATCTGGAGAGAGCAAGAGCTGAACTTACGTGGGGTTGTGGCATTGCCTTTCTGCATTCTGAACACCAGCGCCACATGTCCGAGAGCAGGCAGACCACGAGCTCCAGGTCCCCCATCCTCCATCAGTTGAGTCCGGGCGATAGCCCACCTGGACACACTCTCCATTGAAGCACCACTGCAGAGGAAGCCAGACAAGAGTGAGGCCAGCTGAAAGAGCAGCAAAGGGGAGCAGAGCTCTGAAGGAGAGCGGCGTGCAGCGCAGGGGAACAGGAAGCGAGGGACAGGTGGTTAAGGGAAAGTGTGCACATGGGAGTAAAATTAATTTGGTTTCACATACAACTGTTTCACCGCAACTCATGTTGCAGCTTCCTAGTAGCGCCCGGGAAGCCTGAGAATTATGCCTTAGTGCTGGTGTCATAAAAAAACTCCACCAGCTGGTCATCACCCAGTTAACATGGAGACCGGGTCAGAAGGCAGGTTCGACAGGTAAAGCCTAAGGAATCCTTCCTGATCAGCAGAACGGAACTAAACTCTTGGGGCCAGATTCCTAGAGCCCTGCAAATCCTTGTGCATCTGCTTTGTATCTGCAGGTACCCGCATCCATGGATGTGGGTGCAGATATCTGTGGCTTGTTGTGGATGCAGATACAAATGTTGTGACTAGAATCCTGCAAATTTGCAGATATCGGTTTTATATCCGTGGGTATCCTCATCTGCAGATAGGGATGCAGGTATCCACGGCTCACTTTTGCAGGGACAGATGCAGATACAACATTTTGTATCTGCACTGGGCTTTACAGATCACTGGGACCAGCATCTAGCCCTAGCCAGGTGGGGAGACATGGAAATGTTTTTATGCTATCGTTGTTCTATTTTTTGATACCTTGAACCTGAGGCCACTGTCCTGGTCCCACGATGCAATTTAGAGCAGTCTCAAGGTCGCTTTGTGATGTGCTCCCTGGGAACAGCCCACGAAGAGTCATGTTAGCAGCCAGGGATTGGCTGCCTATGGCTGCTCTCTGGCCATGCCTCTTTGCCTTTGCCATGTCCCCTGCACCTGGACAGGGGGCACAGGAGCTGCTATCCTATGCCAAATAGGGCTTTCTGTGCCTGTTTTGTGCTGCTACAGTAAAAAAAGCACCTGGTACGGGGCCTCAGTTTGGTTATTAATTCTCCTCTTTAGTCCTCCCTGGGCTGGAAGGAAGTGGCGTGTGAATGAAACTGCAGCTGCACATGCAATGCTTGGAAAGTCAGGCCTGCAAGGTCAACTGGTGCCATGAGGACACAGCAGGGAGCAAAACCAACTCCAACTCCTATGATGTTTCAGTAACTTGCTGCTTCAATGGATTTAGGCCCCAGTCCTGTCATTCTTACTCCATTAAAGCCACGGGAGTGGAGCCTTAGTAGGGACATAGGACCGGGCCTGTATTAAGCATTCTGACTTAGGGGTGTTCTTGTGCCTGTAAAATTTTGGATTTTACCCTTTACCTTTGCAAAGCTGACAGACCTGGGTCGTTGGCAGGTGGGACTGACCCTATGACCGAACGTAAGGGCTGAAGCCATGTGCCTCTACTGTATGAGCTAAAACCCCCCTGGCTCTGAGCTAAGGCGGTAGAGCACACCTCACTCTCCCTTTCAAAGGCCAGCTCTACACTAACGGGGAAGGTTGAATCAAGATACGCAACTCAAGCTACATTAACTATGTAGCTGAAATTGACATATCTTGTTTTGCATTTCTCCACCATCCCCACAGCACGGGGCCAACTGGAATCCCATCGACTTCCCTTATTCCTCACAGAAGAAGGAGTACCAGCAGCCATCAGGGTCCTCTGGGTTCAATTTAGTGAGTCTTAACTAGACTCACTAAACCAAACTCCGGAAGATCAATTGTGGCAGTGAAGAGATGGCCTCAGTGGTCTCGGTGCTGCTGGGTTACACCTTTAAAGTTAAGCAGAGGAGGGCAAATACCCCCTTCATGGGTGTGCTGATCCTTGTGCACAGCAGTGAATTCATCAGTGTACCAAAAAGAATATATGTAACTAGGTCCATCTAGTCCTCACCTTCTCAGAGCTGTGCTGGAAGCAGTGGTGTGGCAAACACTAGCACCTAGCACTAGCAGTGATTTGCAGCTTACTCGATTTAACATTTCAGTAACTACCCAGACACACAAATCCAGCTGTGCTGAATGTATCCCTCTCTAGGTAGCTCTGCAGTGGTAATTCCGATGCTGCAGAATTTCATCTGGCAACTTGTCTTATTTATTGATTTATGTAATAAACCCGTGTCAGGAAAACTGTTGCTTATGTACAAGAGAACAAATCGCCTGCAGCTGCAAGCAGAGCTTCCTCTAATTACCTTGTTCTCGCCACACTTTGTGCCATCGACAGCAGCGTCCAGCTTGGAGTGGCAAGTGGTTCCCACTGAGCACCAGAGCGTATTGCAGACATTCTGCGGAAAACAAGCATGGGCACAGCATGGGGGTTATGGACCATCCCAAAAGGCCAGCCCACACCCAACCAGTTTGAAACGTGTTCACACGCTGAATGACCCCCCTGATCTAATCAATAGGCAAAGAAAGCCACTGTGACCTTTCTGTTTACAGAGCTCCCTTTCTGGTCACCCTTTGCTCTGGCAGTTTGGACGTAAGCTTTCTGCTTTCCCTTACTGAGCCCCTTTAGCTTCCTCTCCTTTGAAGTGACTCTTCCTGAAACCAGGAGGAGAGAAAATTTGTGTGGGGGGTCAGTCTGGCTCCCTGGACCTAGGGGAAGAGGTGCTTTGGGAGCAGAGGGCTCCACAAGCAAACCAACCTCTCCCCTAATTCAGCCCAGATGACAAAGGCCTTTTCTCCATTAACACAAAGATCACTTGGCATTAGAAAAGGATCAGAAAAGGGCAACAAAAGTGACGAGGGGTTTGGAACGGGTCCCATATAAGGAGAGATTCAAAAGACGGAGATTTTTCATCTTAGAAAAGAGGAGACTAAGGGGGAATATGATGGAGGTCTATAAAATCGTGATCAGTGTGGATAAAGTGAATGAGGAAAAATGATTTACTTGTCCCCACAACACAAGAACTAGGGGTCACCAAATGAAATTAATAGGTAGCAGGTTTAAAAGCAACAGCAGAAAGTATTTCTTCACACAACACACAGTCAACCTGTGGAACTCCTTGCCAGAGGATATTGGGAAGACCAGGACTTTAACAGGGTTAAAAAAACTGGATACATTCATGGAGGATAGGTCCATCAATAGCTATTCGCCAGGATGGGCAGGGATGGTGCCCCTAGCCTCTGCTTGTCAGGGAAGGGATCACTTGATCATTCCCTGTTGTGTTCATACTCTCTGGGGCACCGGGCACTGGCCATGTAGGAAGACAGGATACTGGGCTAGATGGAGCTTTGGTCTAACCCAGTCTGGCTGCTCTTATGTTCTTAATTCATATTGTGAGATCTAACCCGTCAGCAGCCCGGTGTGAGTTTCTATGCAAAGACTCTCACCAGTCACAGGGTCACTCAGAAGTCCCACAATCTATCATTACATTAATGAAAACTGCAGGCACCCCCAACCCTGACTTACATCCATGTCATCGCAGAAGGCAGAATATGCTCCATACTGCAGCCGGCACTGATGGCTGACGTCATAGAGGACTCCTGGTGGAACCAAAGGATAGTGGACCACTTCTTTGGCAGGTGGGTCATCCAGACACAACCCCCAGCCTCGACTGCAAATGGGAAACAGTGTGGGAGAAAAATCAAATCACTCCAATTGTGTCTAAGGGGGGACACTGGAGGAAATCAAAACTCTCTAAAAGAAAACTGCTGTAAGGGTTAAAAGTTTTCCAGGCCTTTCTCCCTGTAACAGAGAGAAATCATCTTAACTCTAATCAAGACCTTTACAATGCCTCCTACCTCAAGTTCATGGAGACTCCTAGTCTGTCACAAATTGCCATCTAAACTCTTATCTTTGTCACAGTTTGCCTTGTAGACTCCTCACTCAGGTTCTCATGTGCCTTTGTACTGTAAAACTTACTTCTAGCACTTCTGGTGTGAACAGAAACCTCTCAGAGTCCTTCTGCTGAGACTTTGATATGTTAAAGAAAACAATCAACAACTAAACTGTCTGAGCATACTGTATAAAGGATCCCTGAACCTGTCTCTCAGGGCTGGTTGCTGCTCTCACTCTGGTAGCTCTCAGCCTGCATGCATGCATAATAAAGTTTTCCTTCTAGATTTCTCTCCTGCTTCACTAGATTTCTCTCCTCCTCACTGTTTTGACCTCCAGCCTCGGACCTTTCTGGGGACTCTGTACCGCAGGGGAGCGAGATTTCCCCAACAACAGATACATCAAAATCAAGCAGCTGGAGTCAATGTAGAGCAGGGGAAGAGCCAGCAAAACAGGCTCTTGAAGAACATGAGGATTGTTGCTGAAAACCAAGGAAGAGTGACTCTTGTGCACAGCTGGCAGTCCTGGGTAATTACCAGATGCTTCCAGGTGAGCAGCAACAGCTGTTTGCTCTGATACGCTGCTAGACCTGAGATTTCACGAGAGCCTGTTCTTAGGAGCTTCCCCCAGCACAGCTACAGAGTTAGCACAGCGGGTGAAAGTGAGTGCAACTCCATAGAAATCAATGGAGCTACAGCCACTTACCCAAGAATGAGGCCCAAGAGGTTTCAGGGAGCTCGATGTCAGGTATCAGCTGAGCCAGAGAGGCTGTGAGGGTGGCCACTCCTTATCGCTTGTCCTGGAGCATGACCATACAGTGTTGTGTGGTGCAGGCATAAGAGAGCCTCTTGGCTCTAGTGCTACCCGTAGGATGTCTAGACTGGCAATTTTTTCCGCAAAATCAGATGATTTTGCGGAAAAACTTGCCAGCTGTCTACACTGGCTGTTTGAATTTCCGCAAGAACACTGACGATCTCATGTAAGATCATCAGTGTTCTTGCGGAAATACTGTGCTGCTCCCATTCGGGCAAAAGCCCTCTTGCGCAAATCATTTGCGCAAGAGGGCCAGTGTAAACAGCACAGTACTGTTTTCCGCAAAAAAGCCCTGATGGCGAAAATGGCGATAGGGGCTTTTTTGTGGAAAACCGCGTCCAGATTGGCACGGACGCTTTTCCGCAAAAAGTGCTTTTGCAGAAAAGCATTCTGCCAATCTAGACGCGCTTTTCCGAAAATGCTGTTAACGGAAAACGTTTCCGTTAAAAGCATTTTCGGAAAATCATGCCCGTGTAGACGTAGCTGTACAGTATTTCAGAATGCAGGGCCCTGTTGACTCCTGCTGACGTCAATGGTGAAGCTCCTAGGCTGCAATTGTCTTCATGTGCAAGACTCCATTGAAAACGTCACCAAAGAGACTCCATGTGTAACATGCGCTCCAAGGAAGAAAAGACTTCCCACTCATCGGTCTGAACACAAACACCTGGCAGAGCCCTCCAGCCTAGAACCTCATCAGAGACCAGGAGGCAGCCTGGTTTTTACAGTGGCACCTTGACAGCGCATGAGCAAGTTATGGCTGTGCTTGAAAGAGCTCTCCCGAAGCGGAGAGCAAAATACTGCTCCGACACATTCATAACCAGCCAAGAGGAGAAACGTTGGCTATAAAATGAAACCTCCCAGAGAGCGGCTGTCAGCATCTTTCTTGCACCAGGTTCATTTGAGAGGAAAGCTTGCGACAGCAGCTACTTCCTTAAGCCTGGATGGAAACAATACACATCTCCCTGACCCCGTTTATGCTTTTGTGCCACTTCCAGTGTGAGGAGGTGGCAGGTTTGAGGTAGTCAGACGGCGCTTTAAATTCTCCCTCGCAAGCGCGTATTCAAGGGGTCGGCTCCTGGCCTGGTTCCTGTTATGGGAGACACTTTTCCTTGTCCCCCTCATTAGGCTGCGTGCCTGACACTTTGGAAGCCACATCTATTAATTCTTTACAAAACCTGCACTCGCTCCCACCCTGCGCCCAAGCCATTGAACAGTGTCTCCTGTTACTTGTTTCATTTAAAGGGGGGGTGAAGGGTTGCTTGCCTGGACCTGGCCCCCACAGCTCAGGGCTCCTCCTCACCAGGATTGGGGAAACCGCCTTGGTGCTCCAGCTCCCCCACCACTCCCATCACCCACCAGATCAGTCAGGGGCCACATCAGGGAGGGTTTTTTTTTTTTTTTTTTTTGCTTCTCACTTTTGTGCAACCACTGGCTGAATTTTCTGTGCATCAGAGGCCCCCGACCCTATAAAGGTTGCCCTCCCCTGATTTAAAGGTCTCTGTGAGAGGTCATTCCAGTGCAATGGTTGTTTTAAATATAATCATTTAAAATATAATAGCTCACAGGTTCCTGGTCGCAACTCCTCTGAAAGGAGGGCAGGGTAAGGTCAAGAGCTTCAAAATCAGATCCTGCTGTTAGTGCCGACATGGAAATAAACTGCCAGGGCATCTTAATTGCAAGTCAGGGAGGGAACATAAAGCAAAGTGTTGCCAGACCTAATCTCTTCCCAGTTAAAATTAGCACAGTAAGTGGTGGGTGCTTCCTATATTGTGTCGGACAAGTAAGGCCATCACAAATGCAAGTGTGTGGAAAAGTCTATGCGCTGCTGTGTTGTTTTCAGCCGTGAGGCACCCGAGTATTTATATTCTTGTTGCTCAGTGTTCGTTAAGAAAGACCAGCTGCTGCGCTCATGGGGATGCTGGTATGCGTAGGAGACTAGTCATAACAGTTGCACATCAAGTTGTGACAATGTTTACGGCCACAGAGCCACAAGATGTAGACAAAACTAGCAGCAGTTTGATTAGGTTCAGGAAGTCCTTCCAAATGGGGTTTCAAAGCATCACAGCAGGAGAGGACAGAGGCAAAATATTTTTAAACAAATGACGACCAGCAATTGAAAGAAATCTTCAAGGATGTTTATGTTAGAAGAGATTTTAACCCCATGAAAGAGATAAAGTCAGAGACAAAAAGACCAATAGAATGATTTCCGCTCCACAGTATTTTTTCCCTCCTGGCTTATGCTTTATGGATAGCCTGAAAGTTAGGTATTCAGCCATGCCACTGTGCTTGCATTGCAAAATGAGAGGAGGTATAGTCTAACCAGCAGTATGAATTGTTCTGGGGCAGAGGTGGGGCATTTAGAGAAGATGGAAAATATTTTTCAGCAACAATATGGACAGACTTTAATGTCCTTTTACGTACTGTATTTGAAAGAAGAGGGAATTTTAGAGCATAACATCAAGAACATACCCCACTTAGACAGCATTTTCAGGATAGAAGGATCCCAGAGCAGGTCACATCTATATTCAGCATTGCTAAAATGCAGCTGACTCTGAAGTGGAGAGCAGCAATCAACCACCATGCACCACAGTGAGTGAGGGGAAATGCAGACCAAGGACAGTGGGGAAAACTGGTAGTTTTTCAGGACAAGCCAGTGTCACAAGAGTCCAAAGACCATGCAAAGCAGACAGGGTCTCGGCCCGAAGTCCTGGTCCAGGAGACCCATGCAGAGCAAAGTGTCCTCAAGTCAGTAATCTCGTCCTGCGTGGGGAAGCAAGCTCTGAATCAGGATTTAGCTCTGTCAGTCCAAGGAGCCAAGCTTACACAAACACTCATCTTACTGTTTCAAAATACTGTGGCTTATATTTTATTTATTTGTGTATGTATATATTTATTTATTTAGCTAAAGCAAGTCAGAAGCACCCTGACTCTTCCAGAACAAATGGGCACACAGGACACGGGTTCAAAAACAAAGATCTCCTCCCAGTCCTTAACAATCACGTATGCAAAACACCATCCCCCCTTATCCTGAACTGGAGGTACGTAAACTCCTGAAAAGCTAGGGGAGGGAGAAATTAGCGATTAGCTTTGCCCCATTCAAGCCAAAGCTCTCATAGCCACAGTGCAGGAAGAAAGCAAAGCCCCTTGGACAGCACGTGTGCACTTGCTGGAAATGGTTATACTTAGTTCCTGAAGACTATGTTAATTTACTAAATATCTGAATGGGCACCTACATGTCACAGGGGTGGGTAGATAAGGCAAGAATCGGATGCAAGGGGATCTGACAATTCTCAAATGTGTAACAAAGCAGGTAAAGGGGAGGAAAACGTCTTCCAATGAGTCTCAAATCTTGTCATCCGTCCAAATCCTGCCAGCCTTAGGAAACTGAAACGGCTTCTCCACAAAGGGAGAATATGGAACAAGGATCCTAGCTGGGCATGATGGGCCATCAGCCTACTTCACTCTAGTGGTGCTTAGTTTACTGGTAAGTGGGTTGAGCCTATACTAGTCCAGCGACAGTTGTGTTTGGTTGCACAAGCCTCTCCAGCCCTCTGACTTGAAGTCCAATATTAAAGTGCAATAGTAAAGCAGACATGTGTAGCAACTGTCTGAGGAGACTTTCAACTCCCAACTCCTAGTAACCTCCTTACCAGGTCACAATACAAGCCAAGACACTCCTAGGGGAGTCGTTATAAATCAGCAATCATTTATTGCTTCATCATTAGGGTCTTAATTTATGTCGGTTTACAATGCCCTTGGCTTCCACCAGAATTAGCATTCACAGACAGGGCTTAACTTGGCTTTATGCTTTTGTCTCATGATGGGTTACAAGAGTCTCCCACACCCAGTCACAAAGCAGCTCTCGAACGTAACACAACCAGCGGCCCGTTCACCAGAACCAAGCTGCTGAGTTTTAGCTGTGATACGAGGTCACGACCAATTTCCTCACTCTAGGGAAGTCGTGGC